CACACACACACACACACACACACACACACACACACACACACACACACACACACTCACACACACAGACACACACGCACACACAAACACACATACACACATAGAATGAAGTTGTGCCCTCAAGGCGTGAAATCCAGCAATCGAAATATGAAAGGAAATGGCATTGTGCCTTATAGAATCACAAGGTACGTAGTACTTTGACAACGTGCATACGTATTGTGACTTTAAATACCTCGTTCCTTTGTGATTCTCACACTCTGAGATGCACTCTCTCTCTCTCTCCTCTCTTTATATATATATATATATGTATACATATATATTATATGTATATATTTATATACATATGTATATTATATATATAGGTCTCATAACGAATGTGTGTGGCTAGAAAGAGTGAAATCCTTCCGGCCGAAATATAAAGGAAATTATTGTGTCTTGTATAATCTCAAGATATCTAGTATTTTGAGTCACAACAAACGTAATATGGACCTAAATACTCCATTTCTTTGTGATTCTCTCTCTCTCTCTCTCTCTCTCTCTCTCTCTCTCTCTCCTCCCTTACACATCCGACCAGAGAGAGTAATGCGAAGTGTCTAGTGGTCATAGCTCGTTGAAAAACATTATCACAACAACATATTTCACCTACATAGGGGTAGGAGTAAAGAGCACTAGACAACCCGATAAATTTTAAATCTATCTGCAGCAATATTGTTTTTTTAGCTTCTTCAATTTCAGTTGACAAACACTTCTTAAACAGATTGTTAATAGATGAGGTCGATTCCCAACAACTGATCAACATATTACAAACAGATTCCACACAAGTCACCAACGAAACCTTCTTGCACATATATATACAAATGTAGACTTCCATGACATCTTCTATGATCGCATCTCATCCCCTGTAAAAACAGGTGAAAGTAGTAGAATATACACCTGACATACTTGAAACCATTCAAAAAAGTTATTAATTACGGGGCCACATTTTTTATGTTGCTGGGGGAGGCGTTGCAATTTTGGTTCACTGTAATCTGGATGCTTCTATTGAGGACTATGACTTTGACCAATCAGGTAAGTGGGCGTGGATTAAATTGGAGACAGCGGGTGAAGACTGGGCAATCGTCACAATTTATGCGTCGACGGATAAGTCGAAAAGAGTGAATTTCTTTGAGATTTTGCCAGACTTCCTACCAGGAGTGGAGAATATTGTTATTACGGGTGACTGGAATGTGGCACTGGACGATGCCAATCCGTTATTTAATGGGGGAAGGGCAGGCAGGGATCTGGATGCAGTCCTAGAAATAGTGTCAGAGTTGGACCTCTCAAACCCATATAGACTGACCAACCCTACTAATCCAGGATACACCTGACATTCTTCTCTGATTGAATCTGATCGTCGTGTAATCCCCCCCAGATTAGATTATTTTCTAGTTAGTCAGAATATATGGTCCAACACACTAGATGTGTCGACGATGCCTGAACCTATTTCTGACCATAATCAAGTGACCCTACAGTTCCTGTGGGGTGAGGGACAGGAGAGG